GAATAAAACTCAGACCCCTTAGATGTTACAAAATATATGAACGACCCCTAATTTTTTTTGGCTAGTTTGAGAGCGGAAGATGGGGGGGGGGGGGGGGGGTGGGGAGGAGGGTCTGAGCAAATCCATTAGTCAGGAAATCTTTAACTTTCTATTATCAGGAAACAGCTAATTTAAATCTTGATCATATAATAATGCTCAAACTCTCAAACAAATTTTTTTTGGATCAATGTTTAAAGCTAGACATTAAAACAATACAAATACTAATAACACTGAATGGATCAGGTCATCATATTCTAGAACAGAGGTTTTCTAACTGTCTGCTGAAGCACTCTAGTGTGTGTGTGTGTGTGTGTGTGTGGGTGTATGTGTGTGTATGTATGTGCCTTAAAAGAATTCCAGGTGTACCGCGAAAAAAAATTAAGTAGAAAAATGCGCCGTGGACCAAAAAACTTTGAGAATGTTGTGAAGTTTAGTTTGATTCGCACTGGTTCATAACCTCTTAGTAAATTTCTCAATCGCCTTTTTCAAAATTATTCAACATTAATCAAAAAAAAATATATCAGTTTTGAAAAACAAAAGTTTATTATCTCAAATCAGACCTAAAAGAAGAATTTATAATAAATTTTTCATTAGGCACATCTCAAGAATACTTAAATCACTCGAAATAAGAGCAATATTTTACAATGTAAATCATTTCATCAGCTAAAGGAAGCGAAAATTCTTTTTTGATGAGAAAAATCCTTTTGAGAATTACAAAGTGAGCAGAACAGCATCGAAAGATGATTTTGTATTCAGTTCTTTATATTTTATTTACATTTACAATCCACTTAAATATTGAAATGAAACTTTTCTGACTTTCAAGTTTGTAGGAACAGATATGATGGTTGAGTAACCTCACCAGAGAGCACAACACATAAAAGAAAATTTAAAAGAAGTGAAAGAAAAGTTCTTTTTTTTCATCTGCAAACAATGTTATTATTATACTTTAAATTCATCATTTTTCATTCTTGGCGTTATAGACATAATTCTCTCTTCATCCCCTCCTTTATTTCCCATCTCTATCATCATGTATTCATGTACAGTACATATAATGCGGTGTTATTATGTACACAAATATTGTATTATTAACAAGGCAAGTTGAAAAGAATGAAATATGGATATTGGAGATAGTGGAGGAAGAAAACAGCAACAGCAACAGAAATTGTATGTAGAGTGTTCAGCTACTGGAGTGAATAATATTTTTAGCGTGTTTCTAGGAAAAACAGAACTTTGTTGTTAGTTTTACTGTTTGTTGTAGATAGATGAGATGAAAGGTTTATGCTTTATGAAATTTGTAAAGCTTCTTCATAAAAATAATAGAGTATATATTGAAGTTCTTCATGAAAAAAATTAAAGAATTATGAATTTTGCTGTTTTTGATTTTAGATATGTTTACCAATATTCCGAGCCAATTTAGAACGTTTGGAACTTGCTGATCATATTTTCAATAAATTTTTAAAAAAGAATCCCCGAATAGCACAAGTCGATTAATCGAATAGAAATTTGATACTAAGCTGGTATAACTCTCGCATGATGATGGATTCGATTTGAGTCCTGCATCATGCTAGAGTAACACTAGCTTGGTGCCGGATTTCTATTCGATTAACCGAATTTTTCTCAAGGCGTGAAAACTATCCCAAATATCCCATTTATCCCATATATCCCAAAAATATTCAAAAGAATCTTTGAGCCTGTATGCATTAGAATTGAGATATCCCATCATATCCTGAAATTAGACGTCCAATACACTAAGGATACGTTGGGATATCTTTATTATCGTGCATACATGCTCAGGAATTTTTTGAATAATTTTTGGGATTTGTCGGATAAATATAATATTTGGGATAGTTTCCACGCCTTGTTTTTTTTCTATTCTGGAAAGTCTCATGGAAAACTGGTTCTAGAGTTTGATTCTCAACAATGCATCAAGGAACAAAAGATTTTACAAGACCATCATGAAATTTGATTTAAAATTTGGCTAAGGCTAGAAGTTGCTGTTAAAACTTGATTTTGATACCTAAAACTAATGTTTAAATGAAAAAAATTATCTTTTCTCGTGAGAATCGAACACGAGTTCGTAGAGGTTTTTGATCTTTCGTACTCTTCCAATTGACCTTTCAGTGGTTGGAAAGAAGCTGGACATAATGGTAACTTAAACATTTATCCACTCTGAACCAAGAGTGCTGAACTGATAAATTACATTATGATCATTTTTAATTTCATCAGTAGCACACCCTTGCTTTGAACAATATCTTAAATGTCATTGTTCATGAGATTTCAATTTGAACCTTCAACATATTCTTAACCTCAAAAATTATTATTCAAATAAAATTCTATAAGAAAATTGAATTTTTGTACATTTTGGTCATGAAATTTCACCTATTCATGAACTTAGTAACTCAAATAGTAACAAAGTCTTCAGTTCAAATTTAAAAAACCACACACGACCATACCCCCAAAATAAAAATAAAGTTTTCTCATAATAAAATATGAATAAAAATTATCACGAGCAAGCTACAAGCCACTAAAATTGATTAAATTATCATAAACTTTTGTGAATCACGCAAAATTAGCCAAGAAGAAAACATAATTTTTACGTCAGTAAAAGTTCAACCTGAAAATAAAAATTTTTAACCCATTTCCTAAAAAGATTTTTTTTTCCTGATCAAATTACAAAGAATTCAGGCCTTTATACCTTGTCAATCGACGTCTGAATTGACATTTTTGCACAAAATGTGATTCAAAACTTTTTCTTTATGTAAAACCCTCAAGAAGCGCTTACATTATAAATTTTATAGCTTCTTCTTTTTGCTTCTATATCCTTTATTCTTCTTTATTGCTTGGATATCCACTCTTGTTTGGTAGTTTTTCAACAACTTTTTTAAAGTGGAATCATTTGAATATTCTGTCACATTATGTAGTTGGATATACAAATTTATTGTAATTCTTGAATCCATAAAGAATAAAAGATGAGAACTGAGGGAAATAAAGAAGTTGTTTTTATGCAATAATTATTATACAGAATATCCAAAGGGATTTTTCTTTCTTTTAAGCAAATTTGTCAGGATTTTTCCTTCAAGTTCCCCAGATTCACAGCAGCTCTAAATATAGAAAATCTTGAGCGTAAAGTTCTCTGCTGAATACGAAAGATACTTACAGTGAATTAATTAATGAATTCATATTTCAAGTAGTGTGGTAAAATTTTGCATGCTTCAAGGCTCTTTGCATGGTCAAGTGCTCATTAAAGTCAGTCTTAATTTTTATAGAAGTAGATTCAAATTTACTGAATAGTGATTATTACATAATAAATGAATGTATAATGACCAAAGAGTTTATTTTGTGATTTGCATTAGTTTACATGTAATTAGATAATTCTCCAAGGCATTTACATCCCAAACATGACGTGACGAGCATTTTGAATTTCAATTTTATTTATTTTTTTTTTGTCCGTATTTTATGAAAAGCTGATTCGTAAAATTTTTATTACTTTATATTCGTAAGCGATCCTAAATATTTAAATTTCTAGTCAGTCTCTTTTCTGACATTGAAAGCTTACAGTGAATGAAAGGTCGGGCATTGTTGGGTAAGAAAAAATCCATATTGAGATGAATGGAAGTACGAAGAAAAATTAGAAGTTTGGAAATAAGCTCAGATGGAAAAAGTTTGTAGAATACTTTTACAATTTTAATGAATTTATATGAAAGGTTTATTTGACCTTGTTTTGATCATTAATTATTGATATTAGAATATTTTTATGTTTTATTAAGTTTCTGAAATATGTACAATTATTAAAAATTTGTTGCATAATCAAAGGCTAACGGCATGTTGCTGATGAAGCTAATTTAAATAAATTTGTAGTTTGAAATTTAGGTCAGGGATCAATAACGGGTAATTGTAATAAAATATCCTAATTCAGTTTAGGGACCGTTCAATTATGACGTCCGAAATTAACGGTTATTTTTCAAAAACGAACAATGGATTTCCAGGAATTTCTATTGTTCTTTTCTGTCTGACCCCCGCCCCCCCCCCCCCCCCCTGGACATCATAAGTGAACGGCCCTTAGTTCAATGTCTTTATAATCACCAACCTCATTATCCCTTGGTCTTGGATGCTTATACCCCTATTAGTATCCTGTTAGCTGCAAATTAGTATTAATTACCGGATTAGCACAAGTCAAGTGTCAGAATCCGGCAACAAATCATCGTGACTCTGGCATGGTGCTGGATCCAAGGGTGTGGTACTGATGAAATTGGTCAAAAATGATCAAAATGTAATTCTTCAGTTCCACACCTTTGCTTGATCTAAATCATAGCCAGCATCATGCCAATATTTTGGTGCCGGATTATTATTCGATTAACCGACGTGTGCTATTTGGGTAAGTCACGTAGAAAGTGAGGTGCAAAGAACCATTGGTAGCTATTTGTTGATAGCCAGGACTAAATAAAAGCTAAGATTAGGAAGCAAAGTTTTTATTGCTAAAGGGTGCGACCCTAAAATTGTCTGATAGCTGAAGAGTACAACACAGCTTTAAGTTCTTTGAATAACTTACAAAACTAAATTTTCTTCTTCTGAAGCTTCACTTTTATTCAGTTTTGTGTGCTGATTATATTGAAAATAAGAATAACCGTCCTTACCATCAAGCTATGTACTAACTTGGTATAATATTTCCATACTATAGCTAGCGACAGAATCATTTTCAAGATTAAAAAGTTTGTCTTCACTAAAAGCTTCTCAACAACTATAAATCAATTAAAATGACTTAAGCGCTTAAATTTATCTTGATACTTAAAACGATAGTTTCCATTTCCTTAGTAAAATTCTATTCGCCTTCATTTCTGTAATGAAAAAACTTAATAAAATAATCTGAAAAATCAAAATTGATTCAAGAAAAAAAAAAAAATCTTAAGACCGTGTAAAGTTTCCAATCTTATTCATTTCAACATTTACATTTATTGTGCTATATAATGGAGCTTCTTTCTTCTTATTAGTTTTTTTTTTACAATTTATTATTTACAAGAATATTATTTTTCTCACTTCTTCGTCTTCTTAATATCTAACATAACTACAGTTTTCCATCTTCTTCATAGAAAGTTTTTTTTATATTCTTCATCATCTCAGCCATTTAATGAAGAGGGTGAAAAGGAGGAATAAAAAAAAATTAAAAACTTCTTTGCTTCTCGTGTATTATAATTCTTTTTTTGTTTGTTATAATTTTTCTTGTTCAACATGGATATTGAGTTTTAATCAGAGGATAAGACACTTAGAATTATTTATTTTGTAACGTTTGAAAACTTTTTAAAACGACAAAAGCTTTCAAAACAATTTGATCCAAGTGGTGTAGTCAGAGGAGGACTCGAGATTTCAGAATCTAAACGTTCTCAGTATCAATAACTTACTATCGATTTCAAATTACACTTATTATTTATAAAATTAAATTTTTTTATTATGCGGAAGAACGATCTGAAATGTTAGAATCCTTCTTTCACTGCACCGCTGGTATGATTAAACTTAATGTTTAATTTTTTTAATGAAATGATTTGTTAAGTTTCAAAAGCAAATGAATGGACACTACCAATAGAATTAATTTGCAAAAACTTTAGAATTTTTTTTTTAAAAAATTACTATAATTGTTTTTAACTTTGAGTTCATAATTATTAAAAACTGTCTAACAGCAGAATTATCACAATTTTAAAACTTTTTGATTCATTGGTGGCTCGGGTGGGGTTTTATATAAATTTTATGATTGTAATCATTGCTTTTGAATTCATTGTAATTTATCAATATCTATGGTCTATTCATGGGCTCATAAATCGACTCAACTAGACTCGATTAGAATCGACTAGATTCGACTAGACCCGACTAGACTCGACTAAATTCGTCTAAGCTCGACTAGACTCGACTAAACTCGTCTAAACTCGATTAGACTGAATTAGACTCGACTAGGCTCGACTAGACTCGGCTAAACTCGACTAGACTCAACTTGACTCGACTAGACTCAACTTGACTCGACTAGACTCGACTAGATCTACAGAAATCTAGCTCAGAGCTTAATAATTCTTGAATTTTCAATCTCAGATCTAGCTTTTTGTTGATTATAGGCGATCTTTCTTTATTGCAGCTGACTCAAAAAGCTGATCCAATTCGAAAATAATTAAATAAAGTCAGTTTTATTTTGTTCGAATCGTTTCGAAGCGTTTCAAGACAACCAACTCGACTTCAATCTATGACAAACTTAACAATATTGATGGCAATAAAATTTAAATTTATGATTTTCAATCGACAATGAAAAAAACAAAGAAGATTAATCGGAGATAATTCCAAAGTGTCAAATCCTTGATTTATTCTTTTAGTTTTCCTCATTGGTATGGAAAGAAGGGCGAACGAACAAAAAAACATAAAAAATATTTTTCTTCATTATTTCATTTCGTAAAATTTTTCTATACAAGTCTCAAGTCAATTAATCAACGACACAGCAAAAAGAAGAGAAAAATAAAAATTGTAGAAAAAGTCGAGAGAAAAGTAAAAATTGTTCACAAAAACAAATTTATAGATTTATTCTTTTTGCTGTATGTGATATTAACATTAGTAATAAAACTATCAGAAGAGAATTCTTTACGTATAAATTTTGTTGTTGAACTACTGATGTACATCTACTGTGCATTGCTTCCGGATGTTCGCCTGCAAATATTCCAATATTTACCCAGATCCGTTCGACATTCCATAAAAGAGAAAAAAAAAAATTGAGGTTGCATAAAAAAGAGGAGAGAAAAAAAGTATTATTGAGCATAGAAAATCAATTTAATTTTTTTTTATTGAAATGAATAATTTTTAGAGTAAACAAGAGGAACGAGAGCTTTTCTTCCTTATCGAAATTCAATCTATCATTTTATTACTCTGTTAGAAATTATGCATTCGAATCTACTCTACACTATGTTGTGACTGAACTTTTTTTTCTTCTTCTATCATTCATTGATAGATTTTTATCATCAAAAAGTTTGCATGGATGGATTTTGATGAATATAAATTGAAATTTTTTTATGCAGTTTTAATGGAAATTGTAAGTTTGATGTAGAAATTATGTAAGATATTTTTTCCTGCTCGACATTTGTCGCTGATGATTCTGCAGATTAAAGCTTATTTTATATTGAGAATTTATTAAAAATGACATTTATAGCAGATCCAAGCTAATGTGGAGAGAGAACCTTTATTTGTTTTACACACATGCTCCATTCAGCATAGTGCCTTTACCTTAACGCAGTGTTGTTCAAACTTTTAGAGTCACGACACTTTAGGAGTAAGACATGACCGAAGTCACAAAAAGTCATTTTCAAAAAATTCAACGACATACAGTTTGGCCAACACTGCCTTAATTACTATATTTATTTGTCCAACTGTTCTTTTATTGCAGTGGTGTCCAACCTTTTTTGTGCCACGGAATATTTTATGGAAATAAGCAAACTGCACTAGTCAGTGTAATTTTATGATGATCATAGAATTTTTTTAAAACAAGGACATTGCTTAATTATTAAGACTCAAGTAAAAAAAGAACAAAAAAGTTCAAAATTACTCTAGAAGGATAAACCAAAAAAAAGACATTCCAAAAAAAACAAGCGCTTATAGTCAGCCTAACTGTTGCATGATATTTAATAAGCTTTTCATATTTCTTAGAAATTTTTTCAAATATAAACCATAGCAAAAGTTGAAATGTCTATGTCGATGGCAATTCAATTCATTTTATAATTCCATTGAATTTTATTTCCAAAAAAAACATAACATCAAAATACGCTATCAGACATTTGTTCACAAAGGTCCATTCAAAATAGCTTAAATATCCCCAATCGAGATTTCCTGCGTGGTTTCTAAAAAAAGGCAAAAACAATTGTGGACATTGTTTAAAAGCTCCAATTTCCAACTGACTGTTGATCATGTTGATAAATCGAGAGATAAAAATACAAAAAAACTATACTTAATGAACAACAATTTGAATGTCCACATTCATCTCTCTTTTGTACAATTTCTCCTCATGTTCTGCCCTCGTCATTGTGTTTTAGTTTTTCACACATTTGTTCCTATACAATGAATTGTACGGAAAATGGTGTACATGAAATGAAAGATAATTTAACCGACATTCCTCTCGGTTTTCCTTTTATTCACTCTAATATTATCCTACATTTCCTTTTTGCGCTTAACAACAACATTCTACAGCATAAATGCATGCATGCACAGTGCAATTGTTGATGATAATTATCTTTACCCAAATAGCAATTTAGGAATTTTTCGTTTCCTATTCTCAAGTGGGGGCTTAAAGGTGACCACATCCTACTTACCATTTAAAACGTGAACTCGTATGCTTGCCACAATGGCATTTGATGGTGAGCAACTGTACTTGCCCGAATTTGTTTCATCAGCATTCTGTATCAGGAGATGTGATGTTGTTAAATCACCCTTTCGTGTTTCAATTGAGATGCCTCCTCGACTGTCATAATTTATCACCTGTTTTGTTACGTAGGTATTTTTGGATGTATATTTGATGATGATAAAACACCAACAATAAAAACATGAGCAGTAATAGAAATGAGAAAAATGAAGCGATAAAAATGAAAAATTTCAATTTTTTTTGTATCTAGCATTGTTGTTTTAATCTCGTCTCAGTGGAATGGTGAGTTTGGAAGGGGTTGGGAATTTTGTGAAAGTGATAAAGCTTTGTGGAAGGATTTGTAGTGAATAAAACTATAGAATTTGTGTACAATTTACCACAATTAAGTAGAAATTCACCACAATTTATGAGAAATTCACCACAATGTTATAGAAATTCACCACAATTTAATAGAAATTTTCCAACATTTATGAGAAATTCACCTCAAAGTTAAGAGAAATTCACCACAAAGATATGAAAAATTCACCACAATTTATGAGAAATTCAACACAAAGTTATGTGAAATTTACCAAAAAGTAATGAGAAATTCACCACAATTTATTAGAAAATTTCCATCATTTATGTGAAATCCACCCCAAAGTAATGAGAAATTCAACACAAAGATATGAAAAATTCACAACAATTTATGAGAAATTCAACACAAAGTTATGTGAAATTTACCAAAAAGTAATGAGAAATTCACCACAATTTATGAGAAATTCTCCCCAAAGTAATGAGAAATTCACCACAGTTTATTAGAAATTCACTACAATTTTTTAGAATTCACCACAGTTGAGTAGTAATTCACCAAACTTTATGATAAATTCACCACAATAATTTTCAATTCTAAACCATTCCAACAACAATTTCCAACCCTGAGTTCACATCCACAAACACACAAAAAACTCTATTTTTACCTCATCTTCATGATACCAAAAGATAAATGCTGGCGATTCATCTGGTGCTAGTCGTATTGTGCATGTTAGGTTGATTGTTGAACCTTTTTGAACGTAAAAATCTGGCCCACCTAGAATAGATGCTGTCGGAGCTATTTTTAAGATACGACGTAGGTTTTAAAAAAAAAAGAAGAAAAAAAAGAGATAAACATTAAAAATCCACAATCTGTCGTTGTTAAGGTGATTCGCAGAATTTCTACGGAAGAATTTTCTTTATGATTGAGTTCGTGTACGTGAATATCAAAAGCAGATTAAGTTTTAAAGTACCCCATTGAGAGATTTCGCTCTTCTTTCCGAGAAACTTAATGAAAATTACTTCACGAGTTTTTTTGCCGTCGTTTTGTTATTAAAATTTCTCATTCATTCCTTCTCGTTTCCATTCCCACATTGCCTTCGCGTTTAATTTCACAATACAATAAAATAAAAAAGTCGGAAGTAAAACAGAAATGGTTGGAAGCAGTTGAACGAGATAAGAGAAAAGAGGTTTGAAAAGAGCTAAGAAGAAAAAACAAAATTAAATTCAATTGGAGCTTTATGTTACAATTTATATGTATAATGAGAATTGCTGTATGAAAAATTTTAATAGTCTTAAAAAGAGAAAAATTTTTTATTTAATAAACCGGTTTATAATTTTTTTAAGGTTCCTAATAAAGCGGTAAGGCATCCCCATGAATACTTAATGGAAAATAAAAATTCTTGTGGGCCGAGTCGGGTTGATAATTAGTTTTAATGATTTTCTTGATAAATAATTTTGGGCGATTAGAACCATCAATACCAATAATGCAGGGGCGTAGCCAGGGGGGGGCCATAGGGGGCCCGGGCCCCCCCTACGAAAATCTGATAGTTGTTTTATTAAGTATTTATAGAGAAGAACCAGTTCATGTAGAGGAAGTGATGAAAGAAATGTCAAAATCAGCACGAAAAATTAAATTTAATGTATGAATAATGAATTAAATATTGAAACTTATGAAGAATGAATATAGATTTAAGGATACAAAATAACCGTTTTTTTAATTTTCGAAAATGGGCCCCCCCCTTGAAAATTTTCTGGCTACGCCCCTGCAATAATGCTATAATGATTGTAATTATATTTAGATTTTAATCCATTTATCTTTATTTGTAAAAAGTTTCTATCGCTTCCGATTTTGTGTCTTGGAATAAATTTTCATTTATTTGTCACCAACTGACCAACTCATGCTATATGTTGTATTTTATTCTTTTTTTCATGCCATACATAAATTTTACGATGTTCCAATGAAATCTTGATAAATGTGCTGAATATGTTGGAAAATTTATTTGTATTTAGAAAGTTAGACGCATTTGTTAATAGTTTTATTCAATTTGATTTATGTTGGCATGAGTTTTTGTAGTCAATGAGCCAAGATGTTTAGGTTTTGGCTTGGACAATATTTTTTTTATATTTGAATTATTATATTTGTGTCATTGAGTGTGGACATGCATGTGGGTAGCTATTGATTTTTATTTGAAAATATTTTTTTGGCGTTGTTTATCTTAAATTGGGATGGTGTTTAAAGTTTAAAAAGTAACTGGTGGTTCCACTGAAGCAGGAGGGTATTGAAAATTTTTTCTTATAAAGGTAATTGGACGTCTAAGTTCATGAGAGGCTCTGGATTGCTTCAGATAAATTTAACGTTTTAAAAGGATCGGAAATTTTCACGGTAAGTGAAGTGGCTGCAGATCGCTCCGTGTAGACACACACAAGCATCAATTATTGATATTTATAATAAATGTCACCAAAAATGCGCGTTTTGATAAAAATTCGTTTTTTAATTCTATTAAGGTTTTACCCGAATACAAACGAATTGTGACTAGGTCCCAATAAATTATATTCTAATTTGAATTGCAGTGCCTCCAGCTCAAAACGGCTAGGCGCTCTTGATGCTTTATCTTTTTTTAAGGTTTTCAAAAGTGAAGCTAGTGATGATTAGACTAGACTTCACACACCCTTCCACATTATCGTCGATGATAAAAAGTTTTTTAACGAGAGTTTTAATATTTGGGCTGTAAATTTGGTTTTTACTGAAAATTTTTACATTCCCACCTCCTGTTAATTAAAACAAAATTATATTCGTGCGCTTTTATACATAAACAACTTTTCCCACCACCATTTGTAATAAATTGAACAAATTCGAATGTTAACGAGTTCAAAAAATATTTACTAATGTGTTAATAGTTTCCATTAATTACACACATGTTAAAATTACAATACATCTCCTCCCCAAAAGTGAAATAAATTGCTCATGTAAGTGTGTAAAATAATATCAAATTCAATTTTGCACTAGACTTTTACTACAAAAACCATAAAAAAAATACAAAACCTCATCATCAGAAGACTATCATAAAAATACATACAAAGCAGAGCATAAACCATCTTCCTGTAAAGGTCTGTCACAAAAAGATAATTTTCATTGCTTGAAAATTTTAAAACCTATACAAAAAGTGTCAAATTCTGCTACCCGACCTTTAACAAATAGCATCAGTTTATATACTTTGTAGCTTTCCAGCTTGCTCATGTCACACACATATAAAAAATAAACTTCAGAAGCACATTGGATGTGAAAAATGGATAAGTAAGGAAGAGAAAAAGTTTTACTAACAATGTAATGTGCTTATGTTTACCACAATTTTACCGGAAATTGTGGAAAACTGCAATTTTTAATAGTCAGTCGAGAATGAACGAGAAAGTTTTTTTCATCTTCTGCTTGGACGACAGTTGCAATACTTACTGACTAAATTGAGACGAACAGAATAACTTTTGACGGGTTGTGTAGATATCTGACAATCATAGAACCCAACATCTCGTTTTTGAGCAAATTTGATTTGTAGAGTCCATTCGTCTGTCTCTTTATGATGTGTCGTTGTAAAACGTTGATCAGTCGTGTATGTGTACGTTCCAACAGTTAAAATATGTAAATCTCTATAACATGTCACATATAATTTTGATTTATGAAACGGGATAAAAGAAAGGCAGACAAAGAAAAAGAAAATTTTCATCATCATTTTTGTGTTAGAGCTATGAATAATGATATTATTATACGTACCGGTGTCGTATCCACGAAATCTACGATGTCATATAATAAAAGAAATAAATTTTTTTATCATTATCCGATGGCATAAAAAAAAGGTTCAACAGAAAAATGAATCGTCCCCAGATAGAATGGAGATTGTACGCATGGATTTTAAAATTTAATAAAGTAAAAAAAGAGAAAAGAAAATAAAAAAAATTATAACATAAATTTCTGATGCGAGTTGAAATTGATAAAATGGTCAATGCATCGAGGACAGTAAGAGCGAATTTTTGGGGCATCAGTAATAAATTTAAGGAGAAAAATTAAAGTCAATCGACCTGAATTGTTCGCAATTTAAAGCTGAATTAATTCATGGGGTTCATTTGAGAATGATGTTTATCTGTAAAGTGTGTACCGAGGTGGAAAACAGCATAATTAGACCAATTAGAACCCTTTTGCCACCATTGTCAAGGGACATTACTAAGTTCACTTATATGTGACTCAGCAAAAGGCTGTCCATCGGTTTTTCCCGATTTCTTGGTCGAAAAGCGGGACATGTCTCGATTTGAGCTCTGTAAATGCGGGGCAGACTTAATTTTCAAGAAAAATAGGTTAAACAAAAACAGGACATTAAAGATTTTAGGCGGGATTTTGTCAAAAAAGCAGGACTTTCCCGCTCCAAAGTGCGCACATGGACAGCCTAATGAGGGAGGACTTTCTTCCGCATCAAAACCCATTTCTTCGCATAAAATCATAAACATTCTTCTCTCAGGCATATCAATCAACTATATCCACCCCATCCTCTTCCATCCATTCCAATATGATGGATATCATAATTGAACAAACCCTTATTGCCATGTCATCAACCCAGTAAAAGAAAATTCAATTTTCATCCAGCAACAAAATGCTTTAAACATTGCCACAAATACAAAATTGCCAGTTCAGTTGACTTAATTATGCGGAAGTAATTCAATTGGACGTTTAACAGATAAAAATTATAATTGCTCCCATTCAAAAAACGGTCAATAAATGTTGAAGTTCCTTGACAAAAAATGTCAATTTTTTTTATCTTTTACAAGCTTTTTTTATGTCTGCGCTCGGCCGAGCATGAAAAATCAATATTTCTTTGTCTAGCACACGGAGAATAAAACAAATTTGTCCTGGTCTAATGTTCGGACAATAAAAATCAAATAAAATACAAGAAATGGTTGTTTATTTAAGGTAAAATGCTGAATAGGTTGTTAAATGATTAGATTAGTGAACCATTACTGCCTTCTGTATGTAATTGTGAGTGAAATTATGATTATTAGATTTATGTTCATTCACTTGTCAATCTGTTCTGGAAAATTTATGATGCTCTTTTGGTGAAAAATTGAGTTTGTTCAGTTTATGACTTATTCGCATACATTTATGGTAATGCGTATGAATATATGAATGAGAACTTGATAATAAGAATTTTCGAGGATAAAAAAATGGACTTAAATAACTTTTTGGATGAAGAGTTATTAATGTGAATTAAATTGAGTTTTGTGAATTGTTGACTTGATTTTAAAGGATTGATTTAAATGTTTTTGAAAAAAGACATTGTCCATTGACATTAAAGCACAGATCAAGTACTGTTAAGCTTTATTAACGCGCAAATCAGCTGAGTTTAGATAGGGTGACCAGATATTTTTTTGAAAAAATAGAGAACCTTAAAGTAAAATAGATGACATCCCATGTGTCTTCTAATTTTATTCATTTTCTGGACGAATTAGAACAAAACAAAACAATTTTATTTTTAAAAAATGAAAAAAAAAATGGAGAAATTTCTTCTGAAAAACCAAGTGGATGGTCAGCCTAAGCTTATGACATTAATTTCTTCATTAAATGTCAATTTTTTTAAAAAAAAATTTATGGAGTACGTTTAGAAATTCAAATTTTGAAATTTAACGAGAAAAAACGTTTTTTTTTCATTTCTGAACACAAACACAAGAATCGTTTGCCGGCCCTTTAAACAATCTAGTTTTTAATCGACGTAATTTAATCCAGTAGTTCTCAAACTGTGTTCCACGGCACATTAGACCAAAGAATTTTGAGAAAAACTGTCCAAATCTACAAAATGACAAAATATGCTATGTTCAAAAAGAAATTCAATAGAATTTAAAAGTGCTTGAAATCTCTGTAACTAGTCTTAGAGCTATCTCCAGCTAAAATATCAAAATAATTAAACTTCCAAGCTCCAAAGAAGCTCAACAAAAAAAATTATTTAAATTCAGATAAATTTATTCATAGTTTATTTAATTTTGTGGAAATTGTGTCGAGTTCATCAAAATTCAACTCCATATTTTGAGCTTAAAAAAACTTATAGTATATCATAAAGTACATTTAATTCAGTCGATTCAAGGCCAGTGGCACAGGAAATAAAAGAAATAATAAAATGAAGAGAATAAGAATATTTAACGATGTCTTCCGTGAAAAAAAAATTATTTCTTGCCTCACAGCAAATGCCATTCACATAATTTTATTTTATGCCGTCTGCAAATTATTCTGTTAATTCACTGAATGAATTTCATTGAGAGAGAAAGGAAGGAACAACAACAAAAAAATTCTTAAGGCTGTATGTTTTAATTTATGAATGTCATATAAAATAAAGAGAGGAAATATAAAGGAAACTTAGATGAGGTCATTTCTAGCAAAAAGATTTAGTCTTTATAGTTTATGATTATTGTTTGTCTCATAAATGAGGAGCATTTTCTTATCAGTAATGCCTGCCTCTGCGCGCTCATTAAACTTTCAAAAAGGAAAGCAAGCTAAATGATGAAATATAGTCGCATGATGAGGTCATTTCAGCAAGGGATGAAAACTTTCTGCATAAATTTATTGTCATGTCGTGGGATCCACAAACTTAGATAATAATTTCTCAGAAGTAGTTTATATCCTTAGAATATGAAAAAACGATGTTAGTTCTTTCATTGGGATCATCACTTTAGCTGTTGTTGTTGTAGCTTTTTTATTTGTTATAATGGATGAGATTTATAAGGACAATGAGAAAGGACATGACTTCTTTTTGTTTTATGATTTGTTTATGAAAATATTTATTCAGGATAGCGTGAAGGATGTTGTAGCTTGAAGGATGTTGTATTATTAAGGTAATAAGAAGTTGAGTGTAGATTTACTAATGAAATTTGGATCATTTATTTATTGAAGTCGATATTATGGGGGTAAAGTGAATTACAAGAAGCTTAAGGGTCGTCCATAATTGATTTATTTGAACTTTGAGGAGGAGGAGGTAGAGGGGGTTGTTGCTGTGTAACAGAAACATTTAATAAACTCTTGTGACAGATGAGATGTACAATAGATTCTATCATCGATCAGAATTACAGTGTCTTCAGCTCGTCGCACCGTGTAGAAACACATCGCTTGGCTGGAACCCTCTTACATTATTATGTGACAGTTGGGAAGAATTGGGAGGAGGATCTGAAAATTCTATTTTTGATGGACATCATTTAAGATAGATCCCTTATCTACCTCTTATCGTTTATATCTGAGAAAAAACTTATAATGACATGAAAAGAAGCTAGAACGAAGCCAAAGAAGGGCTAGGAGGGGGGGTTGATGAAGATAGTTCCAACAAACTCTTGTAAACTCGTGAGAATTGATGGACACCATTAAACTTGAATTCTTCATCGATATAAATCATTGTCTCTTGAAAGTCACAACTATCCCTATCAAAATACACAGACCAACTGCTTCCAATCAATTGACCCCACTTAAATAGAATTAATTTCACCCATCAACTCAATAACAAACTCTTCATCTCATTTTAATTGAATTTATATTAAATTACTTATCAACTTTTGACATCAATCACCCAATGTGATCCTTATAAAGTAATGAAAATCACCTTGATTCTCCTTTCGATGGCTGAAGATTTACGACTGTTATTAAACGATAATTTGAAAAGTTTCTCAGTAACTAGTTGAATAGACAATAAAAAGAAAGTCTTGAGTTGCTATAAATTGATTTCAACTTGAAAATCTAACATAAAATAACTCAATTGTATAAAATCTCAAAAATATTGATAGAATGTCCTTTCCAGCAAAATACTTATTAATTTAAGATAATTTGTAAAACTTTGTTTGTGTTTTTCCTTTTGTTAAAAGTTTTCTACCATGTAAGTAGGTCAGGTTTTATGGATTTTGTTGTAGATCGAAAAGTTTCCTTTTCATGTTTTGACCATAAAAAAATATATTGGAGTAAAACTGCCATAATAAAAAATATTGGAAAGACAAATTGAAGACTATGGAAAAGTTGAGAGAAGAATTGAGTTGGGATGGGTTTATAAGTTGGGTGGGCTGGGAGGATTTTTTGATAGTTTTGACAATTGATGTTGAGTTGAGCTGAGTTGAGGTTCTTTAAATTGGTTTAATCTGATACGTTCAATTCATGTTCGACAGACTTATCGAAAGTCTAGGGGTGCTATAATATGCACGTTCGAAAAATTTAAATTTGAAAAACCGTTACAATTTTTGGTCATTTTATTAAAGTTTTTGACAGTTATGAAAACAGATTTAGCTTTATTATGCTTATTATCAAATGATAACATAATATTTTCATCTTAATTTCATGAAAAATTTGCTTAATTTTTGTTTTTACTTTTTCCTAATATTCGAAAATTTCGAACTGCAGGGTATGAAACTTCAAATTTTGCACGGCAGACAGACAAATAAGACATTTTTACAAGTGTTCTTGGAAACTGTAACGGTCGAAACTCTTGAATTGTTCGTATCAGGGTTTAATTTGTTTAGATTGCAATCTTCAAGCTAGTACTGGATTTTCACTATCGTCTTGAGGTCAGAACTAAGCACTGTATTGTCTTTAAAGTAAGGCTCTGAGGCAGATTTTACTCTGGTATAGGCTAAACTTAAGACTAGGCTTTACTATCGAATAGGTCAAACTTAGGAGCAGGCTTTACTCAGGTCTAGGCTATAATATGAAAGAGACTATACTCTAAGACACCGTGCTGTAACACGTCCCCTCCTCCCATTAAGTTTTAAGAAGTCAAATTACTTTTTCTAGCCTATTCACAACTACTAAAGTGGCAATTTCAAGACCCCCAAAAAAGAGTTAACCCCCAAAAAAGTTTATACACGACAAAATAAATATAAAAGCACATTACTGCCCCAAAAATATCAGCTCAGCAAAAGTAGTATGGAACCCAGAATAAAAAATCCAAAACATTTACGACTCGATAAAATTTATACCAATAAAAAATAAATCAATCTTTTATCATAAAGCAATCGACTGCAATTTATCCAATCATACTTACAGTTTTATTTCCTAAATTTTTTACTCTACAACTTAAATATGCCGATTTTCCGACTAATGCTGTAACCTACAATAATCGAGATGAAGAAAAGAAAGGCAAAGAAGAAGAATAAGAAAAAATTATTTCTCATAAATTTCCATTTTATTTCCTAAATCTCTGCCATATACATCCTGCACTCACATCCACACACAAAATCAAACTTTTTTTTCATGAGTGTATACACGACTATTATTATTATTACATCATATTGGTAACGACATTCGCAGCATGCATGTATAAGGCAGAGCAGGATAAAGTAAAAAAAAAAGTAAAGTCATTGGAAAGAGGAACTTACATTTCTCGGGATTATCGGATCAAAATATGATTCATACCACTTTGGATTCGTATAAAAATGAAAGGGATTAGTGGTGGTAATGTCGTGTAGATTATTGTAATTTCCATGATGATTTTTCTCTTTGCTCCCGTTCTGCTGCCGAAAGCTTCCTAACGATAAATCTGCTTGTATGCGTATAAGCGCAAAATATGAAACGGAAATGGAAAAAAAGAGAGAGAGAAATAAGAAAATATAGATTAGATGGGAATTAGATGTTATTTAAATTTAGATTTAGTCGCATTTCCTTCCTTGTTCATTCATTCGCTTCTTTTCAAATGTGACATTTTTGTTTCTGTGCCATCCAAGGGATGGACACATCCGTAATTTTTCAAAACCAATATGGTTTAAAAAGATTTTAAGCTTTTGTTTCAGACAAGACTCTTGCCAATGGGCAATATTGTTATTTTGACGGTCCTTAGTTAATTTGATGAAGTAGCGACTTGATTGTGTAGTTGTGGTAGGGTTGGAACTCTTGTAATCTTTAATTCCCGTTCAAATCACCGTTTAATCATCTTTTGCTCCGAACCTAATGCATTTACTGACGTAACAGCAAAGATCCTCAACTAAAAGTTCCCATCCATAGCCAAATTTTTTCACTCAACCCGTTTCTTATTCCTCACATTCAATGATGTGATGTGTGGAGTTATGTCGCATTCAACGTAAAAAAATTATATAACTGTGATTTACAGTCGAAGCTTTAAGAATTCTAGCACGTATAGAAAATCCAGCTAGCGTAAAAACAAGAAAGCGACAACTTTTCCATCTCGAGTGCCATAAGGCGTTTCCTTCGATTTTTTAAAGTAAACCATCAAGTGCCGATGATTGTGATGATCAAAAAAGTGCTTGTTAAAATGGAAATATAATCATTGTGTGGAAAATTCAATTCCAGCAACAACACAAAAAGGCTGTGCTGTGTAGAGAAAATGCTCGGCGGTTGAGGATTTATTGTTGAATTTTAATGTCACTTTTAAAACGCAATACATTATCCGAAATTGACCCAAAAGGGAGCATAAAAAGGAAGGAAAACAACAGAAACACCAAAAACGAGAGTGTTTGCATAAATCTTCCTACTCGATTTGGGAACGTTTCTATTTAATTTATTTGTGTGAATTTTAAAGAGTCAATAAGGTTGTGAATGTTGGGCAGTGCTGTTTTATGAATAGTTGGTTATATAAGGCTTGTCTAGAGAGTTGGCTAGGTTTGGTTAATACGACAGGTTCAAGAAACTTAGATGACAAGCTTCTGTAGCTAGCCTCTGTGACGAGCTTTTGTAACTAGCCTCTGTGACGAGCTACTGTGACTAGCTACTGTGATCAGCTTTTGTAACTAGCTTTTGCAATTAGCCTCTGTCGTTGCTAGAATAGCAATGCTCAATTCATATAAAAATATAAGCACAAAACTCGAATCCTCAGAAATATTTTTAACTTTACCAGCATATCCTTTATATTCGCATAAAAGAGCTCAAACCAGCGGAAAAAGAATGTGAAAATAATGGCAAAAAGGCTCCTTTTATCTTTCAAAATAGTTGAAAATAAAGCAATGGATACAAAAAAAGCGAACAGAAAGAAGACAAAAGAAATGAAAAAGTGTCAAGGGCATAGCAAGCTTCTCGACTTCCAGCACACACAATTTTTTTTCATTCACATGTTCATATATCTTTACTGATTATTCAAGGGCTCATGAGTCTTGACATAAACATGCCCATGAAATGAATAATATGCTTTATTCGAAATGAAAGTGGAACTAAAGTGGTCTTAAATTCAAATTAAACATTTTTTTGGTGAGAAATCGATTAATTTTAAGGTTAACAACGTTTTTTCTCCGATGAATTTGAAATGAGATTAAAATTTTAATAATCTATGGCAGCGGTGGTTGAACTTTATTGTCGACGGTAGCCTTTTTAGACAAGCTTTTTCCCATTGTTAAGTCAGGTGTGTTTTCCTTCATTGTGTATTTTTGGGTGCCTTTTGCTTAAATTGTATAAATTTGCGTGGGTTTCTAGTGAATGAATTAGAATTCTATATTTATGCTCGAATTAAGTACAAAAACGTGTAGCAAAAATAAGAGACTTAGCTTTGGTGATTATGGATTTGAATGAATGGAACTTAGAGATAAGAATGGATTCAGGTTATATTTGGCTGTGACCTTTTTGTCGTTAGAAGAATTAAATATCGCTGGATAAGTTCAATCAAATGTTTTAAGACCCCCGGGGTTTAAGTTATCAATAAGTACAGCAAATATTCATCTTCAAGGCAACAACTTCATGATCTATTAAATTTTAAACAGAAGCAAATTCAGATTAAATGATGTCTGTCATAATAATTGCACATGAGAGTTGGATAAGCACACGTGCCCCGAAACCAACATTTCTTTAAATCTCTAAAGACAAAATACAATTATGAGCCCTTAACCTTAAGTCATATCTATCAACAGCAAACAGCAACAACCGAAACACAACAATTTTTTTCCCCACAGCTTTCTCATTGCAAATAATTCTGTCTCCTATTTCAACATACTGAATACATTCGTACACATATAGTTGTAGATATTATTTTTTTTGTGGATGATGTGGATGACACCACATGATTAAACATCACCAACAGAAATGAGAGAGAAGCATAAAAAGGGTAGAGAGGAAGCAAGCAAAAAGCGAGCAAAAAGATTTAGCAGGCAGCAAAAAAAAAAGCAATTAAATAATTTATGTTGTGACATATCAGTAAAAAAAAAAGTTTTCATTCATTTTTGTACATGCTCCATATTTTTGGATGTGAGTCAATGTCACAGCATTTGGGCTGCTCATGCTTTCAGGTTAAGTACTGCACAAAAACGAGTTTGAATGTGTAAATATTTTTTTTTGTTATCAAACAGGCCTCGTTTTAAATTTTCCTGCATTTATAAAAGGAAGTAGAACAGCTTACGAAATGAAAGCGTGGGCGAGATAGATAAAAGGAAATATTCTAGGAAAAATGGCCATTCGATGTAGGTTGATTGTTGATGTTGACTTTAATTGGATTTAAAAGTGTTAAGGAGTTCAACGCGCTTTGAAGTTCAGGAGATGATTATTTAGATAATTGGATAATGCTGCTTAAGTGTAGACACTGAACGCCTTTCGTATCAAGAGGCTTTTGGTTTTTGTTGAAACTTTTAAGAAGTTTCTGATTTAAAATATTTAAAAAAAAATCTTAGAAAAAACTTTGAGTTAATTTTAACGTTTGAAGCCGTTCAAGGTTAAATTTGCCATAAAACTTTTGAAAAAAGTAAATTTTGGTTAAGCCAACAACCAAAGCAATTTATTTTTTCAAAAGTATTGTTCAAATAGCAACTTTATCCATGATAACAGAACTAATTTAAAATCTCAAAGTTTGCAATTGACTAATTGTTCAAAGTTAATGAAAAGCTTGGTAAAATGGTTTTTTCACAACGATTAAAATTTTTGCAGCATTTCTATTTTCATGTTTTTTTGAAATAACGCAAAAATATGGTAAAAAGTTCTATTTTGAGTCTCTTTTTTAGTGCTTGAATAATTCAGGAATCTGCAGATCCATTTTTAAAGTTTTTGAATAATTATGAAAATTACGAAAAAAAAAATTTGAGAATAAATTTATAAAAGTTTTTCAATTTGGCTTCGATATTTAAATTTCCTGAACGCTTAAATGCAAAAACTTTGTGCTTTATCAAATCAATAAAAATGTAAAGCACAGCCATTAACTTTAATATCTATTTTTCAACTTTTAAAGTGTCAAGTGCAAATGTGTATTTTCACAAAATGAATTGGAACATGCAGAACAAGAGAAGCATAGCTTAATGAAAATAATTTTAATGAGGATGCTATTGCCGTCAGATAAAAGTTTGGTTAATAGGATTTGAAACGAAATTTTTAGTACATCCACATACACAAAAAGCTGCTGCTCACTTTAATTGCATTGAATGTTGAGTAATGATGTTGAGCAATTCAGTTTAATTGCGCTTTTTTTGTCGATGTTTTTCATCTACTGAATTTATTCTTTTTTCAGCTCTCTGCTCATTGCGTTAATTGAAAAAGTTTTCTTTTTGCTGCAGTTGCTTGCTTGTGCCAGTGAACATGTTCATTCACATAAAACAAACTCAAGAATAATTATTTATTAAAACTGTACATTTATTAATGAAGGAGGATTTTTTTGCTATTTTTTTAATAGGATAAGTTGTGGATTAGGGTCAGTTTGGAGGAGATGAGTAGCGTCTGAAAAATTTCGGTCGTTAAGAACAAGTTATTAGATTTTTCATTGAGATTTACTCCACTTGATATGCTACTGATCTTAGTTTGAACATAGTTTCGTTCTTTGATGAGAATTTAACATTACTTTCTTTATAGATTTGTTTTAAGGTTAAGATCTGATACGTACAATTCATGTTAGACAGACTTATCGAAAGTCCAGGGGTTTTATAATATCATATAAAACTAATTTAAATAATTTTTTATTTTACGGCAGACAGACAAATAAGACATTTTCACAAGTTTTCTTGGAAGCTGGAACGGTCAAAATCCTTGAATTGCTCTTATTAGATTAAGACAATAAGTAAGGGCTCCTCAAATTCTATTAACTGATAAAACTCGTATCCATTCTTTATTAAACGATTCGAATTATAAGTAGGGACAGTTTCTATGGCTTTACTATGAAGTAAATATGATGTACATTCTACGGTAAATATGAAGTACATCTTATAATTAATTAAATGAATTTTCGATTCAACTTTATCTTATTTTTAATGCCACAAAAATTAACCCGTTAAGATTGCGTTAAGATCATCAGAAAACTAAATATGCGCTTTAATCCCTCATCAAATCTTCAATCCTAACCTAGCTTTCATTTTTAACTTTATACCAGAAAGCATTTTATAAAAAAATTCACATTTTAGCATGAACTGATAAAATTGACGAAACGGATACCAGCAAAAAAGTTAATTATTATACACGTTTAATGAGCTCAATGTGTTAAACATTTAATGAGCTCAATTCAACATTAATTTGAGAATTTTTTTTCATTCTTTTATTCATTAATGAATTTCTAATGTGATTCACAAAAGAGTCGAGGAGGAAAAATACTTCGCGTGCCCTTTCGCAAAATAAAAGGTTCAGTAAAGATTCATGTTATTTGATCCATAAGGTAAACATAGTGAAATAAGCGACACGACCTTTTTTCTACGAACGTCTTCTTTAAATTATGATAGCAAGGAAACACATAAATTATGAAATGGCTCTCAATCAGAGGTCGAAGCGAACTTGGTTCGCCAAGTTCGCTTCGCTAAAAATTCAACTTGCTAAAGTCGACCTGTAGCGAGAATTTTTTTTTTCTTTTCGCCTTAGCGAACTATAGCGAACTCAATTTTATTTTTTTCGCTTTAGCGAACTATTAGCGAACTTAATTTTTCAAAGTTCGCTATAGCGAACTATTGGCGAACTATAATTTTTTGCAATTTTGTATGAAATTACATACTTCACAAACGCAATCAGACATCTCTTCATATGAAGCCAAAAAAATTTTTCTAGTTCGCCAATAGTTCGCTATAGCGAACTTTGAAAAATTAAGTTCGCTAATAGTTCGCTAAAGCGAAAAAAACAAAATTGAGTTCGCTATAGTTTGCTAAGGCGAAAAGAAAAAAAAAATTCTCGCTACAGGTCGACTTTAGCAAGTTGAATTTTTAGCGAAGCGAGCTCGCTAAAAACTCGCTTCGCTATGCTCGCTTCGACCTCTGCTCTCAATAACTTTAGTTTGATTTTTTCTCTTGGTTTTTTGTTGCTGGGTTGTTGTTTCGAGCTATAGAGTTATTGGATTTGAGGATTTTTTATGTATTTAGTCAATCAAGAAGCAGAGCATAGGTTCTTCAAAACAGATACTTACTCATATGCGATTCAGAATCACTTGTAATTTTGGGCTTGTTTGCAAACATTTTGTTGAAAATGTTGCCTGAAAAAAATTCTTAAATTGATATTATAACTACCCTTTTGACCCAATTGGCTACTCTATTGTTCGATGGACCCCTCATTGCATGTATCGCCCGGGTTATCAGCTTAACAGATCGAGCGAGAAGCGAAACGAACGAATAGACAATTATCATAAATTATGAGCACATTATTATAAATTATGGAAACTAGTTATTAATAGTTTGTAGAAATAATTTATTGTATGTCGACATAATCATTAAACTTTTCATAATTGAAATTTAAATATTTCATTCTCATTATTTGTCGTTTCGAAAAGCTCCTTTTTTGGTTCCGTAAAAATTATAGTGAAGCAATTTTATATATCAGAAAACTGAAGTCGAACGAAAAAGCTAATAAAATAAATTTTTTATTGTGTGATTTCTGTAAGTGATTACGGAATGTGAAAAGAAGACAATTTTGCGCTGTTGAAGTCTCCTTCAACAATAGAAAGTTGTGGATTTATTCCAATTCTTCTATGTAATCAAACTTTGTGAATATATTTATGAGGATCAAAATGGATTTTATTATTTATGGGTCGTTCGTAAATGATGTTACTAAATTATCTCGAGGTTGTAAAGTTTAAAGCTGAAAAATTTTAAGGCATGAGGGAAAGGAGGGCTTAAAATTTCATTTTTATTACAGACGTCATTTACTAACGACCCCCCTTCTATGGATTTATATTTGGTAAATAATGAAAGAGGATCAAGATGATTTATTAAGAACCTCAAGAGTCAATCGAAAACTGTTTTGAGGGCCAATTTTCTTCTTTTGGCTTCTCAAGTACCAATTTTGATCCAATTTTTATTTCAGAGCTAAAAAATTCAATTTTCTTCATATTTCGAGATGATTTTGAAGGATCTTTTGTGTTGGATAAATTAATAAAGGAAATGATATTTATTTAGATGAAAACAAAAAGTTTGAAAGAGCTGAAGAGAAAACTTTCGAGAAAATGGATGAAAGGTTGGAAATTATTAAGGTAATCTTGAGAGATTCTTTGCCGCCTCGTTGATAAATTAATTTTTAATGTTGTTGCATTTTTTTTGTGAGTTTATGTGTTGGTGGCAATTTGTTTTGATTTAGGAGCTAACGCGTAAAGGTAATTAAGGATATTATATTCAACTTATGTTTCATAACTTAAATGAATTCATAATTAGATGTCGTTATATTTTAATTTGACGTTCTTAATGCTTAAAAAACCAGTTTCAGGGAACCTTATTAATTGTAGGTAAATCTGTCAAAGTGAAAGTATAGAATTTGTGACCGAATAGTTAAGGTTAGGTATCAGACCTAAAATCAAAATTGAGAAAACTAGTTCGATTCTCATCAGAATCAGATTTCTTAATTGCTATTTAATGTATGTTGTCAATATGCCAAGGATAAGCTTTCTTGCTGGAAGTAAATATCAGAACTATGTAGATCTTCCCTAAGTTTTGTTACCCAGTTCCATGTCTGTATTTTGTTTTAAACCATGATTAATTTTGTTTCGATAGTGTACATCATACAACAAGCTAGTAACACAAAAAATCTATATAAAAACCAAAGAAATTTGATATTTTATTCTTCAAACCCAAACCAAAAAAATATACACAACATTACCCAAAACCGTCATTAGAATAAAACCACCAATAAAATATCAATTGACAAAAAACAACTTAAACGTCCAATTGAATTTGATGGCAACTCGCAGTGTTCTCTTGAAAGCTTTTCATTCTCTGCACAAGAGCATAAAATCTCATTGACTTTTCAATCCACTTAGCTTTCAAGCAATATTTAACAATATAATCTCTTGATGTTCCCCATTACATACTTTCCCATTCCTTTTGAACATTCAATTATAAGCAACGATTATGAGCTTATAAAGCTTTTAATAATTTTTCGAGCTCATCGAATCGATTTCATATTTTATGTGTCATTTCTGCGGGTGATTAAATTGAAGTTGGATTTTATTTTGGCTGGCTGGAAGTGGGTCGATTATGATTTTTAATTAATTTTGGATGCAACGTTTGATTAACGATATTAACTTAAAGGATGGATGATGAAAACTCAGATTAAGGTCATTTTATGTGGGATTCGAACCCACACAATATTAATCATATGGTTGCATGGTTTGATATTATTGTAAATATTTAAATATCTCTAATTTTCAGCCTTGAATGGACTTTTTATATAAAGTTTTAACAAATACAAAAAATGCGCAACCGATCACTTACTTCACTTGCAAATCCCCAACCATACCCTCATTTTCCTCTTTTTAAATACAATCCAAAAAATCACTGCCTTAAATTCAGCCTCGCGTCTTTCTTTGTGCGATGAGAATTAGTTTTTATAGCGTACTTATTGGAAATTTTTAGCTCAGTTCATCCCTTGATTTCGAGCTTACTCAAAAGATCATGTCATGGAAAATTAGCATTTAAATTGCTTTCGATATATACAAGGAACAGCAAGTATATTAAAGCTTCGCATGCTTCTGCTTGTATATAGTTCCGCGTATTTCTGTGCGGCAAGAGATTTTCCTACTCAAATTTAAAAAGAAAGTGATGAAAATGTCTTAAGACATTTTTGTACGTACAGCAGAAGTCGACACTTGAAATCATATCGTCTTGGGTTTTGATAGGAATTTTCTTATATAAGTGGATGAGAACTTTGAGGTACGAAACGTGTTTCATTTTTTTTCTGTCTTCTTGTTTTTTTCCCACACGAAAAGAAAAGTGTCTCAAGTTAAGGTGTAAGCTTACAAAGTAAACGAACGGATGTGTGAAGAGAATTAGGAAAGATTTAAGATGATGAAGGTCACGGATAAACCAAAAAGAAAGGAAAAGGAATCGATAAGAAAGGAGAGAAATATTTCGGAAAGGATCCGAAAGGCAAAATCTGATACGAGATTGTCAACCAATTGTTGTTTCCTTTTGTCTGTAATTGATATCATCTCACTTGGAAATGAAACGATGTAGATTCTTTTTCTTGAGAAAAGGTTTTCATTTTCAGTAAAATTTACTTTTAGTATCAAAAAAATTTTTTCTTATTTATTCTGTCTTCTCGTTTTGCTGTCTTTTGGATATACATTTTTTGTGCCGCGACATTGAAATGATTTATGATTCGTAAAATTATTTATTATTAAAAGAAATATACGAATATACGATTCAATGAAAATGAATAGCGAAATCAAGAAATGCGACATGAGAAGAAAGTTGCTGTGGGTTTGAGTGACTGAAGTGCATTTGCAATTGGATCCAATTGATATATTAGATTTTAAGGTCTGGTTTAATGTTGTAGCTCTCTAAAAATCAGACCATAATCTTCATCAAAGCTGTAATTCTCTTAATTATTTCATTTACAATTTTTAACCATCATTAAATCAGTTTCAATGAAGAATAATACATAATATCCAACAGCTAAATGTCCTCCTACCAATCTAATATCCAACAATGCAAAATAAGGACACAGCCTCATTTTCTTGAAAAGTAAACCACGTAAAAAATATTGAAGTAAAAAGAAAACATTTCCTCGTATTGATTTTTCATCTCTTCTGTTTTATTCTTTCAAGCATATTTCTGGGTGAAATAAAAAAAAATATTTTCAAGCTCTGCTCTGCAGCATCGAGTAAAAGTACGTAGAAAATGTACAAAATTTTTTGTGCGAGCTTGAAAATATATTTTTTTTCCTGGTTCAAAGGATCGCTGAATAAAAAACTCATTAAATTTACACACGACGTGCTTGTTGAGTGTTGAAAACTGAAAAAAGTTGCCGCAATGGCTATTGACAAATTGAGGTTTTGAGAATTTAATGAATTAAATTTTTTTTTGCTGACTGCTTTCTGTTTTATGGTTTGCAATAGAGATATGTAGGTAGCTCAAAAATAAGCCAGAGGGATGGAAAAAGTTTTGAAATTTTTATAAATGAACTTTTTTTTTTGCATATGTTGGCCGTAAAACATTTATGAATAACCCTCAATAAACTTCAATTAAATTCTGTTTTCTATAGAATTTTTATGCTTTTGGGTTGGCAGAAGTGAATTGTTTAACAATATATAATAGAAATTCAGTATAAATTAAGGTTGTGTATTTTTAAAAACAAGTTTAATATGTCTTTTGGTATTGCTTTAATGTCTAAAGAGTTGTTGAATTAAAAAGCTTTAAGACCATTGATGCTTTAATTGAAAAGTCATGGAAAATTCCAATTGAACGGAGTTGTTATTTTCTCTTTTCCTGACAATAAACACCAGGAATAAAAATTAATGACTTTGCTTCAAATTATTATGGAAATTAAGGACGAATAAATCATTAGTACATAATGTTTAAGATTTCAGACATTGACTGCATGAAGTAGGTCTTTGATAGTCTTGTCATATCAACAGAGAGATCTGTCTCTGGTGGGATTCGAACAAACGTTCTCACATAAGAGAGTTACAGATATCATGTCTATTGCCTAGCCCTTCGCGCCACTGAGGCCTAACACTCGCGTTAGCAGATTCACCTACAAATGGCTCGATACTCCAGATTCCATTATGCTCAGACACCACAAGTAGAGACATTCATAAGCATTTAATCTATCATCATATATGAAAGATTTCATATTGAAAATTCCAAAATATATTTCATTACTAGACAGCAATTCCAATTTTTTTGACATGGCATCTCTATCGTATCACTTTACAAATGAACATTTTAATATCATTTTATTGGAAATTCTATTTGATTGGGGTTTTATTGACAGAAAATATTTGACAAATGAAATATTTCTGCATAAGGAAAATAACTCTTTGCCATAAAATGATACCTTTGTGATGATAAAAACATGTCAAGCATCCACACACAAAGAATCGAGTATATGAACATTCCACGAAGGATTGATTCATGTATTAAAAAGTTAAAAATATAGCAACAATGGACGAAGCCCCACTCGAAGCATAACAAACTGTAACAAGTATATACAATAGCTAATATCCTGTTGGGATTAAAAAATCATA